ACACACTGGACCTTTAAATATGTGATGTGTGTATAAATTGTCAAATTAAGACCTGTCCTAAAGAACCTATAAGGACTCAGGTAACTGATTCACAATAATTTACATTTAATTACACAAGTGCTACAATACAGCCCTGCCACTCTCTGCTGTAATACTGTAAGTTCACATTTTGAATTGAAAGAATTAAAGGTCTATTGGCAGAAATAGAATATAATATTTCATAGATATGTTTTGTATGTCATAAGTGACAAGTGTAGAATCACCTGAAAAACGGTTACCTTTGAATAAGTCGTTTTTATCTACAGAGAGAGCCGGTCCTTTTCCACAGTCTGCCATGTTGAGCCGCCATGTTTCTACGGTAGTCCAGGACGGACCAACCAAACACTGGCTCTAGATGGGGCCCTTCGTGTCTTCCACAAATTTTGCAGCCACCATAGTTTCTCCTACACACTTGGATGAGGAGGGTGAGGTGAGGGTGTGTTTGCAACAACACCAACAGAGGCCACTAAATCCTACACACTGGACCTTTAATTAATGAGTCAAGATGTTTTTCAGTGAGCTGTTGCTTAACCCCTCCTGAGGGAGCTTCACGGTTAAAAGAAGTGATTATGCCTTCTGAACTACTGGGAGGGCTTAACTGCAAAGCAGACACACAAAATGCTGTTGAGTTTGATTTAACAGCCAAGCAATACAAAACAAGAGCTCTTAAAAATGCCTGGATTGATAGATTGCCTTATTATATGACAATGCATCTATTAAAAAACTTAACTAAGAGAATTGAGTTTTGCAGCAGCGATAGTTTATCGCCGTGGAGCACAGTAACGCAGGGGACGGATCAGAAAACAAGGCAGGTCCATCTGTAACAGCTGCTTTCTGATAACTCTTGTCTCTTTGTCATATTTCTTCAGCAGTGTTTTGTCCCCAGCTGGTACGCTGTGCCTCTGGGTGTTTTCTTCTCACTTTCCATTCAACTCTGATAAACACTCGGGCTGTCTGCCTAAGATTTAGATACCATACAAGCAAGTAAAAATCTGTGTTTAGTCATTGTTATCAGCACAAACATCAGTCATCTGCAAACTGACTCAAACTGCCTGAAGGGTTAGTCTTTAGTCTGACAATACTTTTATTCCCTAATACAGGACTCTACGGTCTCGTAGGATAAATTGGAAATGAAATATTACAGCAGTACAATATAATCTAATATTGTGCACTAAAAGGCCAAAATTAGAATGAATGGTTTTGACTCTAATATTAGCCTATTTTTAATAAGGGTCGGCAGTAGTTTTCTCTTTAACTTAAGTACATAAGGGCCCTGGTCACTTATTAAGAATTTATGGTATTTAAGATACACATCTGTAGCTGTTGCTTTTGGCCCTATTTTCAATATTTTGCTTCCAAAGGCAACATCTGTATGTGCTCCATATAATACATTACCATCACACCTATAATACTGTCCCCACAGGTTCACTGCTTAGCTGATAGTTCTTCATAAATATAGATTAAGACGTGCTGACGTGTTATCTAGTGTTGAGGCTTAGCACCGTTTTCAGTGGAGGCTTAAAAATCCTACATGCAACCTGAAGCCTGAAGACGGTGACATGGACAGATTAAGGCTCCATTGTAAAGCTTGATCTGACTGGTGATTGTTTGACATGAACACATGTTGTTCAGTTCAGATTCTGTTTCTAAAACTGTTTGAGTCCTTGAGATCAGTCCAGGAAAGGTGCAGGCTCATTCAAAGTTAGCTGGATGACAAATGGGTCTTTTTCAGTTTACCTATGTGTACTGGTAAAAATGATTTCATGACTGGAGATAATGATATGGGTTTACCTCTTCAATGTGTCTTCAGAGTAATACTATTCACACGATTACTCTCAAACCCAGAGTGGGTATAAACATGTGGAGTTTAACAACAAAATATTTTAATTGGCACGTCTTCGATATCTCCATACAGATTTCAGACCATCTAAGGCTTTTAAAGTGAGTGTAAGTTCCATCACATGCCATTCATTTCCATCAAATCACAGAATTAAATAATTTAAATTGGAAAAAAAATAAGAATTATCAATTTTAAGATTTCATAGTATTCCACAAGAGAGGTTAAGACTAAAACAGCTGCATCATGTAAAAAAAACAAAAAACAGTTGCACCCCTCTCTGCCTCATTCCCCGAACAGAGTGTTTTTACATGTGTGGTCCTTCTCAAGCATAGATGCCTTTGACGCGTTTATTCTCAGGGTCAAATGGAGATTTGAGGTGGGCCTTGGCCTTGTACGTCACTCCCATCCTCTCCAGGGTAAACTCACCGCTCTTTATGAAGTCAGCACTCACCTGATAAATACAGGAAGAGAGAGATTGAATGAAAATAAAAAAATGACAGAGGGAGATAAGCAAGAATAGGGAAAGGGGAGGGAATTAAAATTTTGGGAGACGATGGAGATTCAAAAAGAGAGTGAAAATGAGATGACCAATTAATCCACACTCTTAGTAAAAATAGTGTTCCCAACTGGCACAGCACTCCAGAACGGTCAATTTCACAGCGTTCATATCTGACAGACGGGAACGGCGCAGGAGTTATAGAACACTGAAAGCAATTCATTCACTCATGAGTCAATGTCAGCTCCCTCGTAACCCAGGGAGCTAATTTTCACTGACTGACTCCCTTTTCCCTCCCTGCAGCTCTCCCACTGATCTGTCACTCTGCCTCTCTTTCCCTCTGTCATTCACACACTGACACACACACAGAGCCCACTCTCATTACTGCTTAGTTTTTTACTACGTCCATGTTGAAAGCTTTAGAGGGAACAGTACTGTGGTCAAAGGCTATATCAAACTAATAACCTTATTCAGGGACAAAGCTGCCTTTACTCCAGCTTAAAAGCTCTACAGCCAGTAAAGGTACACCAGGCATGACGTTGATGCCCTTGTCTCCGTGTGAATGGACAAGTATTACACACACTGCAATGATCTGAGACCGAAGGCCAGTTACAACATCAATCGATAAATGGATCCATAATTGACCTGAATTTGGCTGCATTCAGTGTTGCCTCAATCCTCTCTGTCCCTGATTTTCTAAAAGCGACTGTGCAACATGCTGCCACTATCACTGTGTTCTATTAAGATACAAAATGATGTAAGGTGAAATTAAGTTTGTTTTGTATCTAGGTTTTAGTCAAGTGCTATAACAACATAATGAAATACCAGGGACAATCTAATTCACAGAAGAACACATTAGAATTTCAGATTAAACTAAAGCTTAAAGACACAGTGACATGGAAAAATAATTAACCAAGTGTTTTACCTGTGTTAAATGTTCAGTTATCTCTTTACAAATGCCAAATATATGTAAAAATAATAATTCTTGCATCCCATCTCAGAATCTTTTCTTTTCCTTTAAAACATTACAGTATTTTCGATGACTCATTAAACTCTTGGGAGGACATAAATGTGTCCAATCAAATGTGATTTGGGGTGACTGGCTAACCGGCCTATCATATAAAACTGCACTGGATTGCCATAGCGTCAGCGGTTATAGCTAGCAGAGCAATATAATAACAGGAGGTGTGTGTTTGGATGTCAAAAATCCACCGTCAAGCTCAAATTTATTAAATTCACTTGATTCACCTGATCTAACATCACATGTAAGCGAGGGGCGAGTGGAGGCTAACAGTAAGCTACATCCACTTTTGAGTGATCCAATCAAATATGAGGAACCTCTTTATGCCCTGCCCAAATATTCCAAGTCACTTGGATTTGTGTCACATTACAGAGGTTGAAGACACAATAACTGCAGTTTCACTGTGAATGAGTGTACCGGAATGAGTTTAAGGAAAGACTGTGTACACTTACTTGTCAAAATACCACTGATGCATGAACTGCATGAACAGTACTCAGTTTGACAGCCAATGAAATTGGGGGATACATTTTAATGGTGTACCTACTTCCTTATTTACCACTATCTATCACAGAACATTGAAATGGTGAATGGAAAATAGAAACAGAAGTAAAAGAATTGAAGCCGTTTTCGAAAATGGAATCAGGGCATGCTGTGGAAAAACAAGAGAAAGATACAAAAAAGGGACGGAAGGAAGGAAAGGAAAAGAGAGATGACACTTCTTTTTCACTCACACTTATTTCTGCTGAAGCCACTGATGTGGCTGTACAGGATGTGCTCAGTAATTCTGTGTGACAGGAGACAAGATCCCATAGACCTGTGCGTGTGTGTATTTGTCTGTGTGTGTGTGTGTGTGTGTGTGTGTGTGTGTTTGTCTTTGTATACGTGTCCACATGCGAGTGCATTTCCAAACTCAAGTGCCCCGACAGAACAAAGGGTCAATCCACTTTGTCTGCCGGTCACGACTCGGAAGGATATTAAACAGATGAGCACACAAACACAAAATTAACAAACTACCACACACAAATCCACACATTGTGTGTCTATTGAACACACACTCATACATACAGACCCAAACACTCAAAATCACAAAAGGATGGCTCTATTTTTCAGAATCTAAAAAGTGTCTTATCCTTTGAGCACTTGAACTAATAGTGAAGTGCTGGCTGTATTATCATCAAGAGAGAAACACATACAAAAAACTGTATTCTGGACCAAAAAACATATTATTCAGTGTAAAGTGAGTAGTGGGACCTGAGAGACAGCTGATAAGTACCTTAAAAAATGGAGACTGATGCACCTCCCTTTTTGTATGCAAAAACACAACCACACAAATATAGCACTATTTTTGGTTAAGTCTATGTACTCATTCCAAGTATTAGTAAAGGAGAATTACCACCACGTGGTTGTATGCGTCCACCAACCAGTCAAGTTGCAGATTATCCATAATAATGTATGTAGTGAATACTTGGAAAGGATTTAATTAAACGGTACTGCAAAATGGAAGTTATTACTATACTGATGATACATATGTCCTATTCCAGTTAATATATGTTACACATGTATTTGATTAGTATGTAATGATGGATTCTTATATGAAGTATAGCTATACAAAATGTGGTGCTTTTGTAAATTCCTGGTACTTTTAGATGTGACGCCTCCCTGTGTGCTGCAGGTTAAACTGAAACTGAATTGGTTTCAGTCACTCACTGGATCACCATTAGCTAGGCGCATTGTTTGCAGTCACGTGACTCCAATGATGCGCGAAATTCAGAATAAGGCAGTGAGTGAAAGTCTTGTATTGTATGGTATTGTTTACTCTTGTTTGCTAAATCTGGAATCGCAATTTATTCTTAAAATATTGCTAGAAACATATTTTCCGGTCACAATGACCTTTAAGTCAAAAGTGTCACCAAGTCTATATCTCCCCATCCCGTTCCTGAGTTATAGCCTTGAATAATGGCCAACAACTGTTTTTCCAGGACATTATGACATCACAATAAAGTTGACTGTTTACCTGGGTAAATAATCATCACTTTATCATAGTATCACATTAAAAATTTGTGTAAAATGTTGTCATTATTACCAGACCAGGCACTGCGACCAATCTGACGGACCGGATTATAAATATTAGTATAACATTATGATTAAGAGTGGATGGATTGAGGGTGGGTGAAATAGGGTGAAGTTTCTCCCCATTAAAAGAGAGGCTGTGTGCATTTACGCAGGAGGCACAGGAGCATAACTTCATTGATTATTTAAATCTCCTGATATGCCGACAGGATCGGTCAGCATCTAATGTTAATTCATGTACCATGTTCTTCTACACATCCAAAAAGGTCACACACGCGCACACACACGCGCACACACACACAAACACACACACAGAGTACAGGCTCATACAGTAAAATTGTTTGGAGTAAAGCAGCCGTCCTCCTGATAAATCCTCTGATTTCTCTGGGGAGTTTCCTCTGTCCTGTCAAGTTAACTACAGGGTTTAGTTTTGCTGCTTAATCCAGTCCAGTGACATTACTGCGCGTCCTTAAATATTTAAAAATGACAGAAAGCAGCCTCTCTACTCATTAGAAAACCACATTCATCAAAATAACACAAAATAAAGAAATTACCTGGAAAGGTTGAAACTACTGGACATAATTTTTGTGAAATGTATAGTGGACTTATGCGCACTGATTCAGATGAACTAAATGAGCGCATCAGTACATCCTGCTCAGAGGCACAGGAAGTATTTATTTTTATATTATCTGTTCATTATTTACATTGTTTTGTTTTTTGATATTGTGATTGTTAATTCATTGTTGAATTACCGAGAATATGATGGTATTATTCCAACACTAGAAATTATACATTAAGTTAAATGTTTCAGGGAAAATTGAAATGAT